TAGACTTGAGTTACAGAAACGTCAACATAGATTAATGGTAATTATTGCACGGGTTTGTTAAACAGGCAGGAATATATCAAGCCCAACGCACTCCGGAGCATAAGACGCAGCCAACCTGGGGCCCGGTGTCAATACACGTACTCGACAAAAATTTGGTACCGCACACACAAGGCAAAGATCCCCCGTATAGCTTTAACAGACCGTTGGGGCAAGTGCCGTTAGCGAGTGGCACCTATGAAGGCCGGCACGGCACACGAGGGGGTGGGGTGTTCAGCACCACACCTTCGTCTCCCCGGTGGCGATGTTTACACATCGCGCCAGGTGCTCATTTGAGGCCGAGTCGATCTCGGGGAGGCCCCGGACCAGTTCAGGTAATCGTCACTGGTGTTGGTGGCCGTGAGCGGGAATCGAACTCGGCTCGCCGGGTTCGTAGCGCAGCGTAGCGCTGACCGCCGCACCACCGCTCTCCACAGTAACGCACGCGTGCACACACACCGACTGCACATGACGTTATCGTGAAGAGTCGACAGCTTACTGCTTCTTCACCGATGCTGTGTTGTGGGCGCTCCGTAGCCTGAGTAACTCACAATCCCACGGTAGCCACGCACACCTGTAACTCCGCAGCTCACACGTGGGATTGGATGATTGGACGTGTGAAGAGATGGGCTCACAATAGCGCATACCTGTGAGGGCAATGAGATGCCTGGAAGAGGCAGTACAGCAAGATAGGTTTCTCACCCATTCCACGGATGTTTGTGGGTTTTCTCCAGCCTCTTCTGTTACCTCGCACACGTGAAAAAGTATGCGTGGAAATCGGCATGTAAAAATAATCACACACCTGTCGGGAACATGAATTAATTGAGGCTTACCCTGGGAAAATGTAACTGTCATCATTACACTTACGAGTGCTGCAATACTTGAAAAATAAAAATGGGATTCTAATCGGGGAATGGAACATGTTAATCGGCTTAACCACACTCTTTTGGTTCTGTCGGTAAAGTCACGTAGATAGAAAATTAATAGATCACGACGTGACTTTACTGAAAGAGTCAAAGAGTATGGATTCCTGCAGGCGCGAAAGCTTCAAATCACAGTTTAACCACGATTTACATTCCGCCCGCTTTGTGATATCGTCGCCGGCCGTTCGTAGTGAGAGCGGTTCTGCTTTCCATCGATGTGCACACTTTGTCGTGCAGGGTAGCGGCGTTTCGCCCTGATAATGATGAAGCCGTTTTAAAATTGCTGTTTTTAATCACTTCTGTGAAATTCGCTGTGGAATTTTACCCGGTCGCTATCCATATATGTGATGTGCAAAGCAACCTCGTGTGACCAAGGTGCTTGCTTGTACGGCTCTCTGGCAAAGCTTGCATAGAGCCGAGGGCATTTCCCATGATTCATGGCAGCCTGGTCACCTTGTAACATTTCGTGCGTTTGATTGTAGTCTCCGCGGCTTGCGTGGCATTAGCTCGCTTGCACTGCCAATCAACTACTTTGTTTAATGATCAACGCATTTAACATTTACCGTATTCTCCCGATAATAAGACGCCCTTCTGTTTCTCACTGTATTTTAAAAGCACAAGTTGAGGGTGTGCAGTCATTTATTCGGGCAGCTGCGTGTGTGAGACCAAAGGCGGTCGGGCGCGTTGGCCACACCATCACCTCGTGCGCCGTGGCCGGCCTTCATAGGTGCTACTCGCAGAGAGCACTTGCCCCTACAGTCCGTTTCAGGCTGTACACGGATGATCTTTGTTTTATGAGACCAAATCTGCATGCCGTTTATTGACACCGAGTACAAGTTTGCGGCGGCGCATCTAACTCTCCTGGGCATCTTATAATGTGGAGAACACGCAAGCGAAATTTGCTTTGTCATGAGCGCATGCGGTTTGTCTAAATATCAGAATTTGAGTGCCGCGCGATTGACTCTGGGGGATGGGTGGGAGGGGAGGGATGTGTCGTGGGTTACGTGAACACAGGAGTCAGTGTCCGCCATGCACACCACACACACACACGTCCACACACGTACGTCCACACACACACGCACGCACAGATCACTCTACTTGCACGCACTGTGCCAGAAGATGTAGTTTGAACAGAAGCGTAATTAGTAACATTAACATAGCCCGTCAAGTCTTTATAAAGAGTTATTTGGTGAAATTTGGCAACTACTTTTGGAAATAAATTTTGGGTTGCGAACATTGCTTATTTAGACGTATGCTTTTTCAATCAGGCGTGAACTTTTCTGGGGGTTTCAAGCTCGTTTCTCTTATTTGCCGGTGTAGGCTCTATTAATGTATTCGCACATAAACAAAGACTATCATTTTTCATGCTTTGTAAATGGGTGGCGGGGCAGAGAGAGGAAAATCACCACAATGTCCCAGAGCGTTATTAGATATGGTGATTTGGAATAGTTTTTTTTCCTCTCCCTCTCATTGTACTCGCAGAAGTCCTTGTACGGGTACACCCGGTGCTTGTCCGTTGCCTGGCGCACGCGCATCCCCGTTGAGTGGCTCGCCAAAGATGTCGGCGCGCCGTGTCCCCTAAACCCGCGCGGCCTGAACACCGGGTAGAGCCGTCGCCGGCAGCACGTTTCGAGCAGCTGTTGCAGGGGTCAACCTGCTGAGCAGAACATTACTACACACATAAGCCATGCTTTATACGCTGCTGGACAAAGGCCTCCCCCGCCTCCCACCCCCCACGGTTCCTTCTCGCTGCTGCACGTCAGCTGATCTCATCGCTCTTGTCGCGAAGACAGGGTCACCCTCCCAGACGGCGCGTGTCTTCCCTGCGTCGACTGCCATGCCATCCGCCAGCCTTGTCCCCTCGGCCATCGTCTCATTGAGCGATGTGTCCCCTGCCCAAGTTCGCTTGCACTCATTGTCGGCGGTGTCTCATGTCAGTGGTGTCTCGCGCCGGTGGTGTCTCATCTAATTGTTTGTTTTCCCCTCCGATCATTGTGATTTTCATGAGCTCGTTGCACTTTCAAGCACGCATCTCTCTCTCGTGGTGAAGCGTTTTGACTGTTTGATTTCACCCTTCTGCGTCCTTGTTTCCGATCCCATACCTCAGAGCAGATTTTATTCGCCCCGATTGAATACTTTCCTCGTCCAGGTTCACTGGCACATGCCGCTCGTTGTCGAGTGTTCAGTTTTACAAACATGCACTCCCAACGCGCTCTCTCGCCTCGTCATGTCGTCATTTTCATCCCAGTCTACTTTGAACAGTAGCCCTCGGTTTAGATGCCATGTATTTACCTTAGTGTTTTTTTTGTCTTCTTATTTACGTTTTGGTTTTCATCAAACCACTCTGCTCAGCATCGCTCTTGGCCAACGTTCTCCGGGGGCATTTCTGAATAAGAGCTATATTGCTCGGTGGGCCTTACCTGCTAAAATAAAAATAGCTTCATAGTTTTTAATAATTTTATTGAAGGCCAGCATGGCACCGAGGGGGTGGGTGGCCAGCACCACGCCCTGTCTTGCGGTGATGTTTACACACCGCACGAGGCACTTATTTGAGGCTGAGTTGACCTAGGGGAAGCCCAGGACTGATGCAGATAATCATCGCTGGTGTTACAATAAAGCCGCTCCGTCATGGCTGAGTGAGGAGAGCAGAAAGCTCGACTGGAGCACGCTCGCCCGCCCGCCCTTGCGCGCGTCTCGCCATGCACAACACGCTGACGCACGCACCCATCACCCGCCACAGCTCCGCTTAGAGCAGATCCGCGTGCCCCCAGGTGTGTTGGTCAGATAAAGAAGGGAGCTTTAGCGCTCCGAGATTAACCAGCGCGCTGGAGTTAAAGAGGCCAGGAGGTGACGAGTGGCAGAATCTCAAACATGGCAGGGCCGTTTAAAACGAGGTTGGGGAAATAGATTTTCGATTTGGCGTGCCTTCCCATGCCTCTCTTCACCCCCCTCCCCCACCATCCTCCTCGTTGTGCAGCTTTACCTGGGAAGAACACTCTTGACTCGGCCGTACTCACCTCACGCACCTATCAGGGAGGGTATTGGGTCACACTGGCTCAGCGGGCCACTGCCCTGAGAGCACGCGCTGTCCCGTTTCACAAATGTCCTCGTGTGGTTTACGTATTAGCACGGTCGTCGCCCTACGTCTGTTTAGTGTTTATGTAACTTTAATTGCAATTGTTGTGTTGATCAGTCGAGGAATAATTGGCCCGAGCTGACTTGTGCTCTCACATTACGTGGTTGTCTTTTAGGCTGATTTATGTTTGTTTCAACGATGTGCTTTTTGTTTCATATCATGTTGGTCACTCAGGTCACTCTTGCAAATGAGACTCCTATCCTGGTCCCTTGAGATCTCACCTGGTTACACAAAATTAACTTGACTTGACCAGGACATGCTAGTAAATTTATCTTCGGATCACACTCACGAATAAATATTGGCAAAAACGCTTCTCTAATTGCGACTGGTTTAGGTGTCAAATGGCAACACGTAACCTATTGGCAAGCCTCCCAATTAAATCTAAATGGCTAATTGCTAGACAATACAATTATAATTATTTCTTCAATGTGTTTTACCGAATAGGTAAGCAAGAAATTAAAATAAATAGCAATTAATTAAATCTCTAACACCCACACCGCCATCGCATGTGCTCTATAATCGGGAAAACAACTGCATGAGTACCTTTTTTAATCATTCGTTTTATTGTTTATATTACTATCAATGGGTTTCCTTATATGACATGGATCCTATGAGTTACGAATGCGATGATCTTATGGAGCTCTGTTTCACAGATGTCCATGTACACGCATCAGTTGTTTCGCATATCGGTAAAACGACTAGCCATTGATTGCCCCCCCAAAACAGCTTGGGGTGAAATTTACTTTGCAATTAAAACGCGAACAAAAAAAAATAAGGAGGCTCGTTCAGTACTCGCCCGTGGCTCTTGGGTTTTCGCGATAAACCAAATAGTTTTTCATGAAAACGACCTGGCGTCTGGCGAAACGGCGGCGTTGCTCGACGGAATCGTCTTGGTGCCTTTTCAGGTTTCCCCAACGAACCGGCGGCCAGGATCGCGTTGGAGACGACCAGAAACTGGCTCGAGAAATACCACAGCAAGGTCAAGGCTCGATCTCGCGTTTTCGCCACATCAATTGTCGTGGAAATAACACAAGATGTGTGGCCGATATGGAGGCTTTTAAATGATAGGGTATCGCACACTCTTCATGCGTATATACACATGCATGCGTAAATGCATTTATACGTTGAAATGTATGGTTCGACCGGCGCGTTTTTTTTTTATATGTACGCGCGCTTAATGTCACACGTGTTTGTGTGTGCTGCACATTTAAATTACGCGTGGTCATCGTGAGATGCAGCTTCACGGATTATAAATCAAAATTTTATTGCGCACTATAACTATATTGTATCTAAACCGAGCGTTATTACTTTATTCGAGTAAATATTGGATTCAGAGTTTGACCCACAATATATGTCTATTTATCTTGCTGCAAAAAAATTCAAAACTGTTTTGGGTGGGCCTACCTTTGGTGTTCTGTAGCGAGTGATGGAAATTACACATTGCTATGGCAGGGGTTGTCTCATCCTCAAGACAACTGCTATTGACCTCTCAGCAAGTGGTGCAAAATCACCCTGGAGGAATGATGATGATAACGATGGTGACCATGACAGTGAATTTGAACTGACGATCCTATAATTATGACTTCCTTTTTCTCAGCTGAGATATGTCGCAGTTGGTATGAACACATTCGCAATATAATTATCAAAACTTCCTGTATTGTATATTGACGGTCATGTTGACTTTTTATTTATTATATGTGTGTATATGTATGTATATATACATATATGCATAATATATATTATATAGGGAGTGGTAGTGCAGAGGTTAGCACGCCGTGCTACGAACCCAACGACCCGAGTTGGATTCCCGCTCACGGCCAACACCAGTGACGATTAGCTGCACCGGTCCTGGACCTCCCCTAGGTTGACTTAGCTTTAAATGAGCCACTGGGGAGACAAATGCATGGTGTGGGCCACCCACCCCCTCGTGTAGCGTTCCGGCCTTCATTAGTGATCGCTAAAAGAACTTGCCCAAACAGTCTGCTAAAGGTTATACGGGGGATCTTTGTCTTTATACATACACACACACATATATGTTGAATCCTCGGATGTCTGTACGCGTTGAAACATTGAACTCTCTTGCCGTCGCTGCGCGAATCGATCCAGGTGGACAGAATCATCTTCTGCCTCTTCCTGCCGATCGACGTGGAGCTCTACGACACCCTCATGCCCGTCTATTTCCCGCGTGCTCCCAAAGGTAAAGGTAAAGGTGCCGGCGGCGTCAGCGACCGCCAAGGGGCAGCGCGAACGGTCGTCCCCGTGGCGTCGAGCGAGCGGCCGGTCCCCGTGACGTCGAGCGAGCGGTCGGTCATCCCCGTGACGTCGAGCGAGCGGTCGTCACCGTGACGTCGAGCGAGCGGCCGGTCCCCGTGACGTCGAGCGAGCGAGCGGTCATCCCCGTGACGTCGAGCGAGCGGTCGTCACCGTGACGTCGAGCGAGCGGCCGGTCCCCGTGACGTCGAGCGAGCGAGCGGTCATCCCCGTGACGTCGAGCGAGCGGTCGTCACCGTGACGTCGAGCGAGCGGTCGGTCCCCGTGACGTCGAGCGAGCGAGCGGTCATCCCCGTGACGTCGAGCGAGCGGCCGTCCCCGTGACGTCGAGCGGTCGGTCCCCGTGACGTCGAGCGAGCGAGCGGTCAGTCCCCGTGACGTCGAGCGAGCGGTCGGTCCCCGTGGCGTCGAGCGAGCGGCCGAGTGGCACCGAGACATCCGGGGGGGAGTCTTCGGGCCCGCCTCAATCTTCTCGCTTATCTCTTCCCTGTCGCCCAAGCTGCCATTCTTCGCAGCGGCGGCTTCTGTGCAAGCCGTCGAACAAAGATGATCACCGCGTCGCACGCACGCCCGATTTCCGTCTGGAACTCGGCGCTTCCTTCCGATATTAGGAAGCCACTGGAGCTATGCACTTTTAAATCGTCTACATTGAAAATTAATTTCTTGAGATCTGCTTTTTGTGTTTAGTTTGTTGTCCTTCCCCCCCCCCACACACCTCCCATTTAGCACGGTGCGAAAGAAGTTCAACATACGTACATTCCGGATTATTCGCCACCCGCGCCGTAGCCGCCCCCCAATTGAACGCCTGCTTTTACGACGACCGCCTCGTCGGTTATTCTAACTCCTTTGGCCTCGCGGTGTGCTCCGCAAATCACTTGCGACGTTTACAATTAAGTCGAAAATATCACCGCGCCGCTATTTATCCAGACAAGAGAATAAGAAGAGAGGGCAACGTGTAACGGCGCTACTTGGCAAGCATCGCGGCGTTCCCGCGTGTCGTAAGCATTAATTTCTGACTTTTTATTATTGGCCGTAAATCACGGTGTTGGAATGATCTTTCACCAACGCACCTTGTTGAGGTGATGAATTCTTCCAAACCCCCAAATTCTTCTTTTTTTCTGCTCCAGTCGTGAATTAAAATTCCCAGTTCCTCGTACGTTATCTTGACGGGGTAATCGTGGTTATGTTCAAGCCACTCCGCCAATCTTATGGAATTAAGTCATTGCTGCGCGTTATTGATTGTGGGAACACACCTGTGTTACGAGGGTATAAATATATGTACACATTAGCTCTGCCTTCTTGATGCTAAGCTAATGCATCTCGTGTCATTGTACATCTCCCCAGGTGAGCGCTGCGATTTTTTGACGTTATTAAATGGAATCTATTACATCAATGCAGAGTTAATGATAACTACATTGATCTGACAAGCGCATCCACGTGTGGTCTCTTGGAAATCGCCTGGTTGACATCAACCCCTGCGGAGTCCTGATTTCATCAGTGCCATCTCCAGCTGCCTCCAAATGCTGTTGGGATACAAGCCGAGCTTGTAACGGAGCTGGCTGCTGACTAAACAATGTGAAAATAAATTTAAACCAAGCAAAATACCAAGTGCTGCTACTCGATTTAGATTACCCTGCCACTACTCGGTGGCGAGACATTAACTACCTCGCCTGGTATACAGCAGGTCGTGGGTTCAATCCCCGACCCTTGACGCCTGTATTTTGAGTTTGTATGTCCGCTCTTCCTGTGGTCGTGTGGTATTTTTCTCCGGGTCCTCTGGTTTTTCCCTCCACATTTAGAATCAACATCACGCGTTTAGGGTATTTGGTTGCTATCAAATTTCTGGCCAGGTCACTCGTGAAAAAGAGCTGCATTGCTGAGTGGGCCTTACCTGGTGGGGGACGTTGCTTCGTCGCACGCAGTCCAAATTAGAGACGGCGTCCATTGCATTTTCGGAAGGGGTGCGGCGGTAATGAAGACGCGGGTCACGCCAACAGCGCGGCGGTGATGCGGGCGCGCACTTGTGGCTCGCCGGCGCACAGGAAGCGGAGTAAGAGAAGTTAGTCGCCTCCCCGTGGTGCACAGAGTGGGAGGGAGTGGGAGAAGGGGAGAATGAGAGAGGCGCTCGCTCGCTCGCGTTTTCCCCGACTTGCCAGAGTGAGCAAGAGGCTGATATGACATTGCTGGAGGTAAGTGGGGATGGGGGGGGCAAAGCCGTGAAGGGTCTTGGAGCACACCGGAGAAGATTTTGAGGTTGACAGATAGTTAAAGTGGAATCTCCTGGAGGGACATGAGGATTCATGTAATGTGTGGCCCTTTTGAAGATTCGAGGGTGGCGACTATGGGAGTGAGATAGTGGGCCCCCATTAAAGAGTTGCCACTGGAAGCAAAACAAATCTGAGAGTCCTTTAAAAACGCCGGAGATACAACCGAACCGACACTTTACCCGCAATCGTTGGCATTCGTGCGGAGTATATAAGTGACAAAATAAATAAGCGGACAATGAATCTCCTTCACCAAAAGATGCTTCGTCGTTGCTGCACTCCGCGTGCCTTGCATGTGTGTCGCTGCCGGACACGCGTCATGCACGGGCTTCTGGGAATTTTCTTTACCCACAATTACCCCTCCCCTACCCGGCCCTGTCCCCGCTCCTGAGTGATTTTATGAATTGTCACGATTTCGGGTCTCACTATTCGATGATTAAATTATTTTTGTCTCATTTACATTGTCGTGAGTGTTGTCATTCTCGTTTGTAGCATCTCACTTGTTGCGTCTTGTTCCATCTACGAGGCTTAAACCAAAAATCTAAAATTATAATAAATAAAATGTTTTTAGGCTCGACATTCGATTATTCTTCTCAGCATGAAACTCACTTAAAATTTACGAGGTTACTCATCGCTATATTCCTGCAAATCACAAGATGTTATAGTTACAATTTCCGTGGGCGTTTTATTTAAGCCTCCTGGTGATTGATTTGTCTTTTCCTTGTGATCTTAAGGGGGGATGTCTAAAAATACCGCTCTTGTGAAGCTTCTTAAGATCATTTTGTCTTCCATGCTGATTGATGGAAGGGTGTTTTTTCTCTCCGTTTCTCTCTTTATGACAGAGAGTTCAGAAGGTGTGGCAGATGGTCCTGCGGTCGCTGGTACTGAAAATGAAAGTGACGATAAAGGTTTGTAATCCTATTAAGTTTGTGCAAATAGGACCTTGTTTTATATATATTGTTTTATATATATTTTGTTATTTTGTTGTTTCTCTTCAACGTGACTTTACCGAAAAAACTAAGAATATGAATTACTGCAGTCACGAAAGCTTTAAATCAAAAAATGTTCTTGGACTTAAGGGGTTAAATATAAAAAAAAATCAATCCCACCGATGAGAGTCGGCACATGCCATTTTTGTTTACAGCGACGTTTTGAAGTTGAAACCGAGATGCCTTCAACAGATAAAAAAATAAAAATGCATTCACGCAACACTTTTGGTCTCCCTGCAAATGAAAAGCCGCTCGCTGCTCCTGGAGCGCAGCAAAATCTTTTAACGCTCGCTGCGCATAAATACTTAAAAATTTAATCCGGCGTGTCTAAGCTATGAAATTGCTTGAGCGTAATAATATCCTGTGAAACGTTAAAAAAGAAGCGTGTGTAACGTTCTGACGTGCAGCAATATCGACTCGTGACCCCAGCGCACGCGTGGGGTTTACGTTAAACCCCAATGGGATATTCACCTCCGGCCGGGAGTCAACTTTAAAAAGAAAGATGCCTCAGAGACTTTAGAATCTTGATTCTCCCCTTGCCCCCCCCCCCACTCCCCCTTCTCCCCTATTCCCCTCCATCCCCAGGTTTCTCTCATTAGGTTATCAAACCCCAAATTAAATTTTCATTCTCTCACCCCGACGTGATGTTCCCCCCCCCCCCTCCCCTACTTGGCTGGGTATGCGGTGGGGGGGTTGGGCTCATTTCCCCCCTCGCCGCTTGCATGTGGTTAAATTTGCGACGGGGACCGTCCTCCGTGAATTTTGACACCCGATTTGTGGTGCGCTGCACCGAGCTCGCGTTTTGTGAAGTTTTTTCATCTTGCTTCTCAGCACCGCCCGCGTCCTTTTTGGGTCACCGCGTCAAGTCGCGCGACGCGCTGCTAGCCGGTCTGCGGCGGGAGCTCCGTCGTGAAGCTGTGACGCCAAACGCATCCTTGCCCCTTCCCCTCCTCCTCCTCCTCCTCCTCGGCGCTTGATCGAGAGCCGTTGGCGCGTGGAACGCGGCGGCGGCGGCGTGGTGGTGGTGGTGGTGGGGGGGGGGGGGGCGGTTGGCCCCCCATTGACGGGTAGCGCCTGCGCAACGAGCGGGTTGGGCGGTAGCGGCCATTTTTTTCACCTGGCAGTAAATCCAAGCCTCGCACGCACGCACGCACCTCGGCGCTTCGCGGTAAACACAATCGGTCAGCCGCTGCCGAGGGGTGGGAAAATAGAAGCATAAAACACCCCCCCCCCTCCCGCCTGATAACTGTGCCCCAAGAGCCCGGCGCTGCGGTAATTGATTTGACCGTCCGTGCATGCGCCCCTGTACCGCGTGAAGCCAGCGTTAGAAACTAAATGGACACCCCCCCCACCCACCCCGCGTGCACACCCCCCCATCCACCCCGCGTGCACACATGTATGTGAAATGATCTATTTAAACACGTGCTTACTCAAATGAGGAGCGGTATAGTGTAACGGTTAGCGCGCTGAGCTTCGAACCCGGTTCGATTCCCGTTCACGGCCAACACCGGTGACGATTATCTGAACCGGTCATGGTGCCTCTTCTAGGTTGACTCGGCCCCAAATGAGTACCTGGTGTGGTGTGCAAACATCGCCCCCTGGGGAGACAAAGGCGGCCGGGCGTGGTGCTGGCCACCCACCCCTCGTGTGCCGTTCCGGTCCTCATAGGTGCTCGCTTAACAGCACTTGCCCCAGAAGTCTGTGCGGGCTATACGGGGGATGTTTGTCTTTGAAATGCTTGCATTTATGTATGCATGTACGTACACCGTTAACAACCGTTAGACACCTCTTTTGTTAGCTATGCAATATTCCTTAAGGACAGGGTACTCGTTCTGTGCAATGTTAACGTGTTTTTGTCTTTGCTTTGCTGCTGCTGCCGTGCTGACACAAAACCACGGATTTGCTCGTGCGAAATAGCCGGGCCATACTGGTTTAACGGAACCATCCGTGTCACTAATCAAATCGGCTTCAATCATTGCCGAAAACCCAACAGTCCTTTGAGTCTCCGCTCTTTCGTCTGCACGCTTGTCTGATGCATTTATATTGTTGTTGTTGTTGTTTCTGCCGCGTTATTGATTGATGTATTCCAATGTTTCACCTGGAAAATCCCTTGAGATGGAAACATCTCATTTGCAAGCGTGTCCAGTGTGTCCATTGATGCGTACCCAGCAAACACGTAATGACACGTGCACACAAATTTTAAATATGTAGCTTATATACCTCACATATACAGTGGACATGCTAGCCCCCTCTATCTTGTGTTCTGCTGTGTCCACAGTCTGAAGTAGCCCGTTTATTGATTTATAATACATAATTTTACACGTAAATATGGTTCCTTTATAATGGTAACTGTTCTTTTTATTCACATCCATTTATTTTACTTGTGCCTGTTCGAAGTGAAAATAAATCCTAGTCTGTTGCGTCGATGTATTATGATGTACTTGTCTATTTTTTTGTGCATCCCAGGGGGATTTATTGAACGTAAAATTGGCTGAAAATATCTAAATATATATATCCAGACAGTCCCTGGGTTGCGGAAGACCTGACTTGCGGAAATCCGAGCAAACGGAAATGCGCCCATAAATCATGTAAAAAAAAAAATACACAGAATTGTTTGCGTCAGTTATGTAAGCACAAGCAGTACATCGCGGTGAGGTTGCGGATGAATACCGAGCAGCGAGGCGTAAGGCGGGCAGCCTTTACGGCTTACCCCAACTTCACTCAGATTAATGTAAATGGAATTTATTTTAGATTTTGATGGGAAATTGTTCAGTTCCTGTCACGGAAAATTCGGGTTGCAGATTGTTCTCGGCAACCTAATCCTTCCGTAACCCGGGGACGGTCTGTATAGCATTGCAGAGCTTGGGCAATTGTTGGTAGCGCCAGCTCACTTCCCCCCCCCCCCAGCTTCTGCCTGCCAGCGTTATCTTTGATTCCTCGGCGATTACGAGAGATGCAGTTTGCACGTGGGATGGCGCTGCATAAAGCTAACATTTTATTATGATAAATATAAATTTTTGTTCTCATTATGAACAAAAACACCGGCTTCAATGCATTCATTGGTCATGGTGCGTTAAACATGGCGAGCTTGCTCGTGCACATGTAAAGCCTTGGGATGTAAAGTGTGCGGACGTCAAGTATGGCGATGCGTAGGCGTTTGTGGGATTGCAGCGACATTGGGGAAGATGCATCATTAACAAGAGTACACTTTGTCAGCAAGATCGCCGCAGTTTGTTGGATATAATTGTCTCGGCGATGACATTATGAAATGTCTGCTATCGTTCATTAAGTCAACATTTGGCTTCCGTCCTACCAACTCTCGTCTTCAAACAAATGGATAGCGAAATGTCCTCGGAAATTAATATCGCAGAGACATTTAGATACTGCTGACAGGCCTGTACCGTGCTAGGAAACTAATTGTGCCCAACGGTGGTGTATGACAACGCTTTGTTTCAATACGAAAACCTGGTGTCATGTCTTATTGTTTTAGAGTGCACAACTCGTGGTCCTCCCTCAAGTTGCGAGCTCAAATTCGTTTTGGATGTTTAGGCCCGGCCTTCTCTTCGGCTTGTTCGTAAGAGTACCGCCCTGTGGGGAAATCGGCAGTGTTTGTCCTCGAGGGTGGCTAGGAGATGTTAACTCCCTCGCCTGGTATGCAGGAGGTCGGCGGGTTTGATTTCCGACCCCGACTCTTGTATGTTTGGAGTTTGCGTTTTTTTTTTCTCTCCGTGGTCATGTGGATTTTGTCTGCGCGGGTCCTCCGGTTTTCCCCTCCACATTTAGAAACTGGTGTTTAGATTATTTAGATTATTTGGCTACTGCTATAATTTGCAATGCGATAAGCCACTTCGATGAGCTATTTCTTTTGGGGGGGGGGGGGGGTTGGGGTGCTTCTCAAAAAGAAGCTAAAATCACTTTATAGCTCAATGGGCTTTTCCTCGTAAAATAGTATTTTTTTCGTGATTTCTTTACCTTTTCCTTTATGTTGCCCTCCTGGTAGGATGCGGATGGTTTAGTTGTATTTGTATTTGTTTGTGTTTGTGTGATTTCTTTACTTTTATTGTACTTTCCACTTCTATAATGTTTTGTACGGTTTGTTGTAACGTTCTTACCCGCTAAACACGTAGGCTTTCGCGACCAATATCCATAATAGAGGTTTCTTTTTGGGTTAGATCGCGTAAATATATAAATGTGTCGTTGAAACCCGCCACCACCCGACACGGCCAACTAGTAGGGGTTGTCTGGTAAACAGAACATGCCAATTCGTCACTAGTACAGCACACCGGTGTGTTGGAGAGCCAAGCCACAACATTTACAAACCGAGTACGACGTTTCGCCTGTAAATACAACGAGCTTCATCAGGCCGCAGCCAGATTTGTGTAGAAGTCTCACTGTTTCGTTCCTTATATAGAGGCGTAGATGTGTTGACCACCCTTCTTCCTATCTGTTGTGTTTATTAAAATAACCCTACCAACGGTAATCCCTATTGAAGTACGCTGCCCTTTGTAGGCATCAATTTAAGTAACGTATTATTTGACGATTCGCTTCCATGCAGCACCAAGGCGGTAGCTATCCGAACGGTTAAGATTATTTTTTGATTTAAAGCTTTCGTGACTGCAGGGATTCATATTCTTGGTTCTTTCGGTAAAGTCACGTAGAAGGGAAATAATAAAATAATAAAAATATATAATTATTTTGATTTTTATCAGTTTCGCTAGATTCTCTAATTATTCTTGGCCAGTAGTATCTAGTTTTGCACAAACCATCAACATTATCAAAATCAATTGAGTGTCTTTGTTCTGCTACTGCTGACAGTTATGTTTGGGAGAATTTAATATTTCTCTGATGTTCTTTTAGTCTCTTGCTAATCATTCATCCTGTTTCCCCAACATGACATTTACCACACGTGCAATTAATCCTGTACACACCTTCTGTTGATTGCTTCGGTAATACATCTTTCGTACCAGATATTAGATTCTGTATCTTATGTTCCGTGCCAAATCTGACTCGGATGTTTTGTTTTTCAAAACATCTGGCTAGTTTATCAGTTACTCCCCGTAATGTGCATCATTGCAACCGTTCATTTGCAGCGCTTCTTTAACATGTTGGATTTCACTTCTCAGACTGTCACCATCTGACACTTTCTTAGCTGGCTGAATGAGCGTCTTCATAAGAGCAGATTTCTGTGCGGGGTGATGGTGTGACTCTGCATTCAGATAGGCGTCAGTATGCCCTTTCTTTCGGTAAACACTGTGTGTTCTTACCCGCCCCCTACTGAACATTTGTGATAAAGAGCTTTATAGCTCATTTGATTCCTCCAGTATAAATACACATTCTTATTCTGAGTTAAGCCCCAGAAATGTGGAATTTCCTCCGGGGGCTCGGGGGGAACCCAGACACGAGCACTGCCCTGCGCTCATTTAATTCGAGAAACATTGGGGGCTTTAAAAAAAAATGTAACGTTAGAGTACCTGTAGAGACTGCAGTTGTGACTGCAACGTTTAATGTGATGCAAGAAATACGCACTCAAGACGAATGTCGAGTGTCTAGACCGGGGGTTGGCAACCACAATAACCAGAAGAGGCAATTTCTTTTCGAATTCGGTGGAAAAAAAATACAACTTAATATTTCAAGAGTCGCAATGCACCCGTGTGGTGAATACGAGACGGTGGTGGCCCTTCATAAATAACGATCACGAAGCAGTCCTTGAAGAGCCGCGCGCGGCTCCGGAGCCGCAGGGTGCCGACCCCTCGTCTAGACAAATGGTCGCGGCGTAGGTGGAATCTTAAGTTAAGAATGCCCATGGCTGCGCTTTGAGAAAGCGCGCGAGCGTTGCATAGAATCTGGGTGTGAAAATTCGAACATTCACCGAAGATGAATGCAGATCTTCGAGTGTAGCGGCATAATAGTGTTCGTCCGCCTGGTCGCCAGAGTCGTCGAACACACATACACACAAAAACACATTCGAATAGATTCAGTCTGGCGAAGAACTGATCTGAACACTAAATGTTTCCGCTATATTGAACGACTGTGAACTTTGCAACGAGTTAATTTTTACGCAGTGCTTATGGAGGATAACAACCCAGCTTCCGGGACTCGTAATGAAGGCCGTGAATGTTAACACGACTCCCCCGGTGCCACGGTGGCGAGATGTTAATTACCTCGCCTGGTATACAGGAGGTTGTAGGTTCGATTCCGACCCTGATGCCTGCTGTACATTTGTAGTTTGCGTGTTCTCTCAACCCCCCCCCCCCCTTTGTTTTTTCCTTCCACATTTCAAATCAATGTGCGTGTAGAGTATTTTCCTGTTATAAATTTCCACGTGAAAAGCCACTTGTGATGGCCAGGTCGCTTCTGTAAAAGGAGCTGCGTAGCTAAGTGGGCCTTACCATGTCAAATAAATTGTCAAAGAAGTTTTTTTTTGTCGTTGTTGAAGCGCTTGCCCCCAAACAGTCTGTTAAGGCTGCAACGGGGCGGGGGGGGGGGGGGGGGGGTGGTGTCTTTGTCTTTCGTGCACAGACAGAGACCCTAAGGATGTAGAGGAAGACGAGGCGAAGGACGAGGACATGCCCAGCCAGGACACGGACAGCGACCCCACCAAGACGAGCGGTACAACGCCTGCTGCCCTCGCTTGCTTCCACGCCTGATCACGCGCAGCGCAGCGCCGATTCGCTTGGCAAGCGGGCCTGCCGTTGCTTCCCGCGTATTTTGCGCAAACCCTAACACGATGATTGTTGTTGTTGTTGTTTTTGTCTGCAGCACCAAAATGCGTTTCGAAGATCTAAACGGTATTACATTTTTTTGTTCTTTTAATTTTGTGGGGGGTTTTTTTTTGTTGGCGTTTAATCAATTGTCTTTTTTTAAGTGACGACGTGTCCTTGTAGGTAGTGCTCCCGTCACTGAAGCCCAGCGTGATCCTTTCCCCGAGTTCCACGGAAGCTTCCAGGGGCCTAACAATTCCATCGATTGACCGATTAACATCGGCTATTAAGCTCCCGGTATATGCTTGGAATCAAGTGCGTGAGAATCGATGTTTAGTTTGTGAGTCGTATGTGTTGTACAGAATACTATACGCTGTAGGGAATGTAATATCGCTACAATCTGTGTGTAACTATCTCGCGCTGTTCGGTCTGATTAATGCTTCGTTAAACATTGATGGAATGTTCGCGGGTACGGGTTCATCACGCTTGTAAAAAAGAAACAAATGTCTGAAAACGTCTCTACATGGTGGCAGCTGGTTGACTCGTTCGCTGCTCCTTACTCATTGAGGGTCAGGGACTCGGTTTTCCACATGACCACGAAGACTTCGCCGAGCAATCCGATTATTTGAAGGGGCAAAAAAGACAGATGACGCATTCTAAGTCTTCACCCCCCCCCCCCCCCCCCAATTCTATGCAGGTAAACAATGATTCGTAATAGATTTTTGGGGTAAGTAACGTAACGATCTGGCCAGGTGTCTGTTGTAAGGCCCTCCACCACCCGTCTTGGCCGAACAAATGAACAAGTGTCTGTTATTGTTTCAGCTCGTACACCGCTAAGTTGAAGAATTCTTTCAATCGAATGTATCAGTTAGACGCGATGTTTTCCTTGAATTGAGGCCAAGCACCTTCAGGAAAATCCAGGAAGTCGGCGTGAATTCCAGGAAGTCCAAATAACCATGTCACTTGAACCCTGCTTATTAAATAGGTGTCAGTCACGACCTCAGAGCAGCAACCAATCTGATTGAACCCACGCTAGAAAATTAACCAGTCTTAAAATCGAGAGGTTGACCACATCCATGTGCTCGCATTGCTGCCTCAACAACATCGATGATAATTCCGTTTGTGATATAGTCGCGTCCGTTGTGTCACGATCGCGGACCGACCCGCGGGAATCGGCAGCTCGTGGTCCTTGAGTCGGTCGCCCGCCCGCCCGCCAGCGCAGCAGCCGCCTGCTGGGTTCAACTCGGGTTCAGCGTGTGACCTGCCCCGCCGCGTGGAATGCGAGCCATCGGCATTGCGACGGCGGTGGCAGTCAGCCGTCTCGATTGTTAACCCCCCCCCCAACCCTCGTCACTCAGCTAGTCTACCGGAACTGAAATGCCAAATTAAGCGCCAATGCCACTCATCACCAGCAGTGAATGTAGGCGGAGGTTTGCTCAGTGCGATTTGAGGGAGTGACTGCATAGCGTTTGTGTCCGTGTCTTTGTGTCCGTGTAGGCCGGGTGTAGTGCTGCCCTCTCCCCCACCCCGCTTGTGTGCCGTGCCGGCATTCGTAGGTGCTCGCAAACAGCACTTGCCCCAACAGCCTGTTAAGGCTAAACGGGGGATGTTTGCCTTTGTCTGTGTAAGTGCTGACCACACCTCGCCCCTTCGGGTGCTGCGCGGGTCTTATTAGCTCTTCACGAGCAGCACCTGCGCCTGTTGTCTGCAGGACTAAAATGAGAGGTGGTTGAATTTTTTAATGCGTATGCATTGTGTGTGTGTGTGCATACTGTGTGTGGGGTGCGGTTAGTGTATGTAAATAATTTGTGTGGGGAGCGGCAGTGCAGTGGTCAGTGCAGTGGGCAGCGCACTGCTCTGTGAACCCGGCGACCCGACATCAATTCCCGATCACAGCCATCATCGGTGATGAATGTCTGAACCGGCCCAGGGCCTTTCCTAGGTTGACTCACCATTAAATGGGTACCTGGTACGGTCTGTTTAAATCACCGGCGATGCAGAGATAGAGGCGGCCGCTCTTGGTGCTGGCCACCCACACTGTCATATGTCCTGCCGGCTTTAATAGGTGCTCGCTTAACAGCATTTGTCCCAACAAACTATTACAGTCTACATGGGGGAGTTTTGTCTTTGTAGACATTTGTCTGCATTGAGGTAGATCACCCCTTCCCATTTACTCCTTCGACAGGCTAAAGCAGCTTTCCTTTTGCCAGACTTTGTAGTGATTTTTGTATATCATGAAAAGTGTCCAATTAAATACAGAAGCTTACTTTTATCTATGCCTACATACACGCATTTATAAATATGGGATCGTACGTTCCCTTCACACATACATACGGTGTGAGGTTTGTAATGTGTGCTATGTGTGCTATGCGATTTGTCCGTAACCTACACGGGCATGCGTACACGTCGCAGTCTTTCTTAAGATGAGTTAATGCTCTCGGCAGCTGATGAGAACATCGGTCAGCTGGAAAAAAATGTGAGCAGGTGAAACAAAACTAAGGTGGAAGGTGTGCGTGTATATGTGTCCACGATGTCATAGGCAAGGCCGCACACACAACGATGGCACTGGTGGGGGAGGGCTACATTGTCCAGACGATGACTAGAATGTGTGAAGCCGCCAAGGATGTTGCGTGTTGCTTTCTTGCTGTGGAATTTGAAATGACTAAACCGTCGGTGAAATAAGATGTATCCATTTGTTGCGTGACATGCATTGCATTGAGGGCCATTATTAACACGATTCCACAAAGCTTGTGTGTATCTCAGGTTTGCGTAATTATTTGGCTCTGGGTGGAACGGTGGTGTAGCGGTTAGCACATTGCACTACGAGCCCGGCCGCCTGAGTTTGATTCCCGGCCAACGCTAATGCGAGTGGCGTCTGAACCAGTCCTGGGTTCTTCCCCACCCCTAACCCAATGCGCACTGACCAGCATGGTGAAGTATGGTCAAACGATTCCCATGACCGACACAGCATAGGAAGGCCTTCTTCATGCAACAATGGATTGACAAAGGGCTATGCATTATTATTGTTTCGTGGTCTAATAGTAAGAGTACCGTCATTTATTTCCAGCAAAGCTTCGTTGAGTCCCAAAGACCCTTTTATTTTTAAGGATTCTGTATGGAGTTGTTGGTCATTTCCCTGTTTTAAGTCGTGAGAGAAGTTGTGTTCACGTGAGTGAAAACCCCGAGCAGCGCCCAGTGGGACACAAACAATTACAACGAAGCAACACTCAAAGGTCCAAACAGATGGGTTTACGAAACCCTCGTTTCTACCGCTCTCTACTCGGTGGCTACCTTGCAGCAGCCGAGGGGAGTGGAGAGTTTCATAAGCTCTCCTTGATCCAGCGACCTTTGGACGATGGATGAGAATGCCGGCGGTGGTGGATGGGAATGCAATCGGTGGTGGACGTGAACGCCGCCGGTGGTGGACGGGGACGCCACCGGTGGGCTTGCTTGCGCTTGTCTTTCATGTGGTATCCACTGCACTGGCCCTGTCGTCGGATCTCTGTGTTTAATTCGATATCTCTGTTGTGTTTCCTTGACCCCTGCCCTGCAGATTAATCAAGGAGAGGGACGTTTTCCACGGCTACAGCAAAGCAAATGTGATAGGCATACTGTGCGCACAATTATAATCCAGCACAGAGGTAACGTTGGTCACATGTTCACTCCTCTTAGCAGTGAACATACGTACATAGGCTTGGGATATATTTTGGTTGCACTGTTACGAATTAAAGTAAAAATTCAAGCCTGACAATGTTGTGTACCCACAAAAAAAAAGGAATTTTCCACAACATTTGGTTTCTCTTTTTCAGTCGCTTCCAGTTTTTCTTTGGCAACGTTCCATTGCGCTCTTAGTTTTCCAGCTACGTTGCTGATGTTCGCAAAATCTCGCACGGTACATTCAGCTGAAAAGTTTGGCGGTGTTTTGCTGTGACCAGCGACGTTGGGGAGAGATCGTAAATGCAACCTTTGGCGGGTTCACTCTGTCGAAGGTGTGAATCTGTTCCCAGGACGTTTACTGGTCTGATGTGACACCAAGACCCGTTTTGTGACATTTATTTGGCGATGTAAAAATATTGAGGACCTTTGATGGACTTGCGTTTAGGACTTCAATTAAATTAAAGAGAAAAAATGCTGGTTCCGGTTCCGTAAACTTGGTTATTGTTCCAAGTTTAGTTTTGTGTAACTTGAATAATAACCGCTGCCAGCTATTCTATATTTTGTTTCAGATTAGGTTAATATACCGGTAAAAAAGGAATAAAACGCATGCAATTAGTTACAGTGAGGGAAAAAAGTATTTGATCCCCTGCTGATTTTGTACGCTTGCCCACTGAAATTAATGGTAGGTTTATTTGAACAGTGAGAGACAGAATAACAACAACAACATCCAGAAAAACGCATGTCAAAAATGTTATAAATTGATTTGCATTTTAATGAGGGAAATAAGTATTTGACCCCTCTGCAAAACATGACTTAGTGCTTGGTGGCAAAACTCTTGTTGGCAATCACAGAGGTCAGACGTTTCTTGTAGTTGGCCACCAGGTTTGCACACATCTCAGGAGGGATTTTGACCCAATCCTCTTTGCAGATCTTCTCCAAGTCATTAAGGTTTCGAGGCTGACGTTTGGCAACTCGAACCTTCAGCTCCCTCCACAGATTTTCTATGGGATTAAGGTCTGGAGACTGGCTAGGCCACTCCAGGACCTTAATGTGCTTCTTCTTGAGCCACTCCTTTGTTGCCTTGGCTGTGTGTTTTGGGTCATTGTCATGCTGGAATACCCATCCACGACTAATTTTCAATGCCCTGGCTGAGGGAAGGAGGTTCTCACCCAAGATTTCACGGTACATGGCCCCGTCCATCGTCCCTTTGATGCGGTGAAGTTGTCCTCTCCCCTTAGCAGAAAAACACCCCCAAAGCATAACGTTTCCACCTCCATGTTTGACGGTGGGGATGGTGTTCTTGGGGTCATAGGCAGCATTCCTCCTCCTCCAAACACGGCGAGTTGAGTTGATGCCAAAGAGCTCCATTTTGGTCTCATCTGACCACAACACTTTCACCCAGTTGTCCTCTGAATCATTCAGATGTTCATTGGCAAACTTCATACGGGCATGTATATGTGCTTTCTTGAGTAGGGGGACCTTGCGGGTGCTGCAGGATTTCAGTCCTTCACGGCGTAGTGTGTTAGCAATTATTTTCTTGGCGACTGGTCCCAGCTGCCTTGAGATCATTGACAAGATCCTCCCGTGTAGTTCTGGCCTGATTCCTCACCGTTCTTATAATCATGAGAACGGTGAGGAACTCCACGAGGTGAGATCTTGCATGGAGCCCTAGGCCGAGGGAGATTGACAGTTCTTTTGTGTTTCTTCCATTTGCAAATAATCGCACCAACTGCTGTCACCTTCTCACCAAGCTGCTTGGCAATGGTCTTGTAGCCCATTCCAGCCTTGTGTAGGTCTACAATCTTGTCCCTGACATCCTTGGAGAGCTCTTTGGTCTTGGCCATGGTGGAGAGTTTGGAATCTGATGGATTGATTGCTTCTGTGGACAGGTGTCTTTTATACAGGTAACAAGCTGAGATTAGGAGCACTCCCTTTAAGAGTGTGCTCCTAATCTCAGCTCATTACCTGTATAAAAGACACCTGGGAGCCAGAAATCTGTCTAATTGAGAGGGGGTCAAATACTTATTTACCTCATTAAAATGCAAATCAATTTATAACATTTTAACATGCGTTTTTCTGGATTTTTTTGTTATTCTGTCTCTCACTGTTCAAATAAACCTACCATTAAAATTATAGACTGATCATTTCTTTGTCATTGGGCAAACGTACAAAATCAGCAGGGGATCAAATACTTTTTTCCCCCACTGTATTTTAACGGGTTAAATGATGACAAAAATTAACGATCTTTTAAATGATGATTATGGCTGATGGAAAGTGACTATCGGGCAAACCCTCACAGACCTTAATCACAAGACAAAGTGTAAACCGCTTCAAAGTGCAAATCGTGTTACGTTCATGTTAATTTAACTGTTTGGGAAAATTCAGTACCATGCAATGAACGGGCTTGGACAAATAATACCGTTAGAATGGATTAACGTTTGATTCATCTGCTCCAAATATTCACATCTAGTTTTACACGTACAATTAGATTTGTGAGCCTGAAAAAATAATATATTTCCATCTGCTTGTACGTGTACAACTCGTGTTCATGACATGCGCTTCCCCACTGTTGAGTCTGTTTGCAACACAAAGGCAAATCAACTCTCCCGATGGCGACTCGAAACAAATCGGTCGCATCGTGCGGAGGTGAATAGCCAGAGTGGATTTGTTGACGGATCAAAAAAAAAAGCGTGGTGGTTTGATTTTGTCTGAAACGACCTCGAGAGAGTGGGAAGCCCCGTCGGATAATGCCTCTCACTTTACATTCGTGGCGACGTAATCTTTCCGGAACGTGAGTCCGAGCATACCAGCAGTCGGCAGCTGTTCTTCTGGAACTGAAATTGGAGCGAATTAACCCTTTTCCGTTCCGATGACGTACGTGTACAGTTTCTCTTCTGAGTCCGTTCCGATGAGCTTTATCGGTACCGAGGCTCCCACAAGGCCATGCGGGAGGGCGTGTGGCACAGTTTGGCGCCAGCTACCTTAGAGTGCGGAATTTGTATCGCTACAGTTCTCTGCGGCGAGTGCAGCGTCTTTAAAAAAACAACGGCGCCCCGCCTCAATTAACGCTGAATCGTTTTTGCGCATTTCGAAATTCATCGGTGAATGGGACCCACTCTGCAACTTGCAGTCATCTCCAATTGGGAAAGGGTTGATAGGCAATTAATCGTTGCCTTGCCACCAAGCGTACATTTCCGTCTCTCAATGATAAATCAACACAAATGAGCAAAGTAATATTTTTGCGCATTCCAAAATGCGATTCACATGAACGTGTGTACTGCGCGGTGTTTTCCACAATGTTAACGTGTGAATGTGCTTGGCAAGCATTTTGGATACCGTCAGCCAAATTGAATTGCGGGATGTGATGGGTTTGGGGGGTGGGCCGCTCTTTGGAGTGATCGGCGTGCCCAACGCAGTGCAGCGGGAACGAGGAATCGCCGCACAACGAGGAATCGCCGCACAACGAGTCGCGGAGAGAAACCGCGCTCGCCGCTGCTCGTCCCGTCCAGTAAAATGGGGGGGGGGGGGGGGGGGGGAGCGCTGCAATTCGTGGAGCGGCGGGCAAAAGACTCGCACGTGAACACACGCGCTCACATCTTGTGAAGATGCAGAGGGGGGCTTGCCCTTGGAAATTTCGCTCAATTGCCAATAACCCGTACCCTGCGGAACACATTTATTTAAACGCTGTCATCAAAGGACCTGAACTACGCATACCCAAAGCTGAAGGAAAGGGGGGAGGGGGGTGGTGGCATTTAACCGTTGGAGAAATCCTCACAAACACGGGGGCAGCCATGCTGAGTACATGAATTCAAACGTTTAATGTTTTCACGAAACCTATTATTTTTTTCTGCGTCGCTCCATGACTGATCCATTCATCCATCCACACGTGTCTGTGCCTATTCCAAAAGTGTAACCTCTTTATATTTTGTGTAATGTAATTCCAGGCCCTTCGGGAGCTTATGGAATCGTGTTTTGCTTTGTGACAAGTCGCGTGATCTTTGATGAGAACCACGAATAGCAGATGCGTCGTGTCAAAGATATACAGAGGCTGCCTTAAAAAAAAAAAACAACAAAAAAAACCCCATCGTCAACTCGAATTTGCGGGCGGCCGTTCACTTGCGCTGAACACTGAACATTTGACCCAGAGTTGTGCACAAGCGAAGGACCGCGCGCTCAGTGTGGCGAGGCGGAGTCTGTCGTTTGGCGTGGTTTTAATTATCCGTTCAGTGGAAGGCATCGCTCTGCTCATTCGGCAGAATATTTATTTATGGTTTATTTCGATTGCATTGCTTTTTGGCTTCTCTTACGTTTTAATTTTCTTGACTTTTTGTGGTTTGGTGTTTTTCTAACGACGAAGACGGGACGATGGTGCCAAACTTCCTGCCCGTGCGGAGCGTGCGTTTCGAACCGTGCGGACAACTCGATAGGTTGCTTGCAAGCACGCTAACTCGATTTGTTTCAATATCGCATCCTGTTGAGATGTAGCCTGACAGTTAATATTTAATGGTGGGGCACCAGTCGACTTTATCAGATGTATTATATATACTTAATTACATACAGATACCAATTATGTAGACTATATTTAAATCTACCCCCTGCATCCCAGCGCTGAAACACTACACGAGCATCAAAAACACTAAAGTGATTATGAATTTTAAAACAAAGTGAAGCAATGAAACATTAAAGAAATATTAAACGTGAATGAAGAAAAGGCAATTTACTCCTAGGATAAAAAGTAGTTATGATGCAGCGCTCATCTGCGAAAAAGCTTGCCACGGTTTTTTGTGCTCCCACCCCGCACGCGTTTTTGAAGCCGACGTTAAAAGGTAAAAAAAAAACACAGCGACAACGAACGCAACTTGGAAACATTTTGCTCGGAGATTCAGGTCGCGCGGCCAACGGCGCAAGCGCCGTCGTCATCCACATGGCCGGCCGGGTGCGACGAACGCTCTCGCCGGCTGGGCCGGCCGGCCGGCCCGCGCCCCCCCGCCCGCCCGCCGATGAAGCACCGCTTCTTCCGCGCGTTCCATCGCAGCGAGCGACGGGCGTCGCGGGCGGCCGTGGTGGGGGACGACGCAGTGGCGGCGCCCCTTGAAGGCCCAGGGCGTCGAGAGAGAGAGAGAGAGCGCGAGGCGCTCGCTTCATTTTCATTTCACGTTTCTCGAGTTAGGATTTATCCTGCGATTCGTGGTGGCGGTGGGGCCGGGGTTTGTTTGGTCCACATTAAGACTTTAAATGTTTGTTGGGAGTTTCTTGTTGTTTTCTGCGAAAATAACTTTTGTTAAAACCTGACCTGGCTAAAATGTTAAAACAAAAAAAAATGTTATCAAATGATTTGGGGGAGGGGGGGGGGGCGTATCGGGTTAACCTTTGCTTGACAGTGAGCGGACTAACACAGCTTCGCTTGTGATCATCACTCGTGGAAGGCTATTCTTTGTGTGTGTGGGGGGGGGGGGGGTAAAATAAACTTCC